ATACACATGATACCTCAAAGAGAGACAAAATACATCTCATTTTGATATTAAGTTCAAACAATTAGCTGAATATGCATTAATTCAGTAACATTTGACACAACTGTTAGGAAATGGTTCGAAGACTAAGACACTCTTTAAACGAATACTTGTGGGTTTGTGAGAGCTATCATAACCATTAGAAAAACCAAACACATCTACAAATTAGCACTATTAGCTGACACTAGAAGAGCCTACAGATAATAAGCACAGAGTATTACTGCTACTTGAGAACATCCCCATCCCATCAGGCTAAGACGGTTAATAAAAATACAGGAGCCACATAATTTGGAAGTTTCCAGTAACCATGAGGTTTAACATCAGAAGCAGGTGAAATTATGTTATTAACTCTGTAGCCCACATATTATCATCTCAATATTTAAACTATTTTTTCATACTAAATCTAAAAACTTGATGTGCACAATTCACACTAGCATACTGCATATGTGTCTTAGTTCAGAAGTCTAACAGACATGGGCTATTGGCTAATAGGATAGTATATATGATGCCAAAAGGGAACATAGCAGGAGAAACACTGCATAAATTACATCCTCAGAGTCCCTGACGATGGAGGGCAGCACAGAGGACAAGCTGGAGTGAGTTCTCTCCTTCCACCTTGCAGGTCTCAGGAATGAATGCAGGCCTCAGGTCTGGTACCAGGTGCCTTTAGTAGCTGAGCCATCTCTCCAGCCCCCTCACTGTGATTCTGAAGTCAATCAGTTAAACTTTAAAAATAACCAACAGTAACCAGTTATTTCATCAGATTGCCCATAACCTTCTGGCAATCACTGTTTCGGAGTCAAAGCCTTACGCAGTATTGATTTTATAACAACTATTTTCAGCACATTTTAACTAGTCTTGCTATCACTTGAGATTAACCATAACTTTCTTCTTCCCTAACCAGTTCCAGTTCCTCACACACACATCCCCTAAATTCACTAAACCATTTAAAGTTATATAAACAAACAAACAAAAACAAAACCTGCTTCCCAGAGCTATGGAGATGCTCAGGGTTAATAAGAGCACTTGCTGCTCTTACAGGGGACCTGGCTTGAGGTTCCAGCACCTACAGAGACTTACAACCATTTGGAGCTGCAGTTCCAAAAAAAAATCCCACACCCTCTTCTGGCCTCTAGGAACACCAGGTATGAATGTGGTACATACATTCATAAACACACAAGAAATAATAATCTTTAGAAGAAGAGGGGGAAGAGGAAAAGGAGGAGCAGGAGAAAGAGGAGGAGTAAGAGAAGGAGTAAGAAGAGGAGGAGGAACTTCCAGCCACTCCTACAACCTCAACAGACTCTTGTCACCCAGGCATGAGCAACAGGAAGACACAAATGATCTCAGAAAGAGAGGAGAGAGAGGGACTGTATTTTAGAAGGTATACCATGCTGCAAACTCACAGAAGCTACAAGAAGTAAGTTGAACAAGCTCAGTGGGTCCCAAATGAGCCTTCACTTGGTGTTACAGTGGTATTTCAGAAGGACAGAAACCAGATAGCTTTCTACCATTTATATGATGATTCAACTAAGCCACAAAAACAGTAAGGAAAATGTCTATGGTATGAACCAAAGCACCCTATTCACTCTCCTACTCCTAACCCACCTGGGCCCCAGGAGAACTGCTGTAGAACCACTCAGCAAAAATCTGGTTGGGCCACGTTTTTGTGTGGTGGGGGGAGGGGTATGTACCGGGGAATAAACTCAAGGCCTTACATGCCCCAGACACACTCTGCCATTGAGCTATATTCCCAGCCCTAACATTTCATTTTTCTTAACTCACTAGACTTAATTTTCACTTGTTAATCTGACAGAATGTCTATCATAAACAGAAACAAGTTCTGCATGTAGGAAAACAGATAGCTGGACTGGGAACATCTACACTTTTAGGAGAATATGTATTTGAATGGCAGTAACCATTGGCACTCAAGTTTAAAATAAAAACTACAACAGGATACTTACTAGTTTTCACCATATAATCTTTACCAAATGAAATCATGCAGTCACCATGTATTTACTACTGCGTAAAATGTAAACTTATGAAAATTACAACTCAGTGCTTCTCAGCCAGTCAGTCAATTCTATCTGTTGTCCAGAAGCCTAACCTTTTCTATTGTTTTTGCTTTTACTCATGGGTATATGTGTGTGTTTACCGGCCTGTGACTGCATACCTGGAGCCCACAGATCAAGCATCTTCCTCAATCACCTTACTTTCCAAAACTGAGACATTCACACACCTGCAGATCACCCAGTTAGCCTGGCTGGGGGAGCACCAAGGCTCAAGATCAGCCTGTCCCCAACTCCCAAGTGCTGTGTTACTGGCATGGGCTTTTATGAGGGTACCGAGAATTAGAATTCAGTGCCTCATGTTCACACAGCAAACATTTTATCCACTGAGCCAACTCACTGGCCCCAAAGTTTTGCTGGTTTCTATGTAGACCTGGCTGTCCTGGAACTCAACTCTGTAGATTCTACTGCTTATGTCTCACCAGTGCTGAGATTAAAGGTGTGTACCAACTTTTTTTCCTTTTTAATTGTTGGGGATATGGGGTATAGGTGTACTTTGTGGACTTAGTTCTCTCCTTCCACCATTATGTGGGTTCCTGAGAACAAACTCGGAGAACTGGGCTTTCCAGGGAGCTTTACCTGCTGAGCATTGTCTAACGGACCAGACCGAGGTTTTGCTTTTAAAAAGTAAGATGTGAGTGAGATGTGCTGGCATACACATCTTTAAGCCCAGGAGGTGGAAGCAGGCCGATGTCTTTGAGTTTCAGGCCAGCCTGGGTCTATCTATTCAGGCCAGCTAAAATTGCACAGTGAGACTCTGTCTCAAAAGAACAAAGCAAAGCCAGGAGTAGCAGGGCTTGACTTTAATCTCCTTTAATCCCAGCAGACACGAGCAGCTCTGAGAGTTCCAAGCCAGCCACTTATGTGAGCACTGCATGTCTCAAAATAAATAATTTTTAAAGTAAAATAAGAAAATGACTCTTTCAGTTCATAGGACTCATGTGGCAAATCACCAGTGAAGTATTTTTAAGCACCCATCTACACTTAAAACAGATACACACAAGGTGCTCACACAAATATCCTGTGCACATTTATCCTTGCACACAAAGATCTAAAACATACCAATATATTAGTAAGGATTTTATCTAGTCATATTTTATTTTAGGGCTTTTTACTTCTTATGCTGTTTCTATGAGAATCATGTGTTAAAAAAGAAAAAAAAAAGGCAAGAAATTGATCAGTGCCAATCTGAGGTTATTTTGGAGTGATATTCCATAATCACTAAATAAAAACCATTTAGGGGGCTTGAAGACAAGAGCCTTGCTTCACTTGGACATGCTCACCTACATCCAGGCCTGCAATATTATGTACAAATTACTTTTGGTGGATCATGTTACAAATCATTACAAAATGTAAAAATGACTTACATCTGAAGAAAAAAAGAAACCCTTAAAGAAAAAGTAACTACTTCAGAAGGTAGACGTTATTGGAATAATTGAGTCACAAGGTGGAAAAAAAAAACAAACCTTTATCCAAAATAAAAATGTAAACCTACTAAGTGACAGGGAATCATTCTCGTGAAAATAGTTCATTTTGTGTCAATTTCGCCTAGATTTGTAAAAAGTAAACCTGGTAAAGTTACTAAATATACCAGCTTGCGCAAACATTGTACGTTACTCTGCCCCCAACCAATCTCTATTTCGTTTTCTCAATTCTAGAGCAACAAATTAAGTACATACAGTTCATGGGTGCAGTAAGTATTGTAGTGGCCCCAGCGGAGGGGATGGATACAAAAGAACACAATGTAATGCTGCACACCCTCGGGCCCACAAAGAGCTTACTGCTGCAGTGGCGCGAACAGGTCAGAAAGCGAGACTAGTCAAGAGTACCTTTTGCTTTTAATGAAAAGTAGATACACTTGGCCTTAAACACAAGACTAGTGAAAGATGTGCAGGCACGCTCTTAAGGATTCAGGGTATGGGATTTTAGCTGGGTGGATTTCATCAGTAACACCACAAAACCAACCCCTACTCTCTGGCTTAAGTGTACATACATATATATTGGTTGAAAATGGGTTGAAATCCAACTAATCCACCTAACAAGGCTAAAATAAATGGCACACGAATTCAGTAGCCTTCGTGTGCTGGGAAGGGAGATCGCAACTATGCCATTTTACCTAGTACCTATTCAACCTGGCTACAGACATTCCTCGTTTTAATATTAGTTCAATGAGAACCCGACTGCCTAAGAGACCCGCCTCGCTCTCCAGTTTTCTTGGTCCTCGGCCTCCGCCCTACCCAGCCCGCCATCGCGTTTGCAGACCGACCCGCAGGAGCGGTCCCCACACCTTTGCGGGCGGGGTGGCTGGGGATCGCGGGCCGGGATGAACGCACGAGAACCCACGGCCACGCGCGCCACCACCCCCCGCACGGATCCTGGCCCGCGGACACCCGTCCGCCCAACCGCCGCCCGGCGCACAGGCAGCCCAACCGCCGTCCCGGCCCAACCAACGCGGGAGGGGAGAGAGGAGCGCACGGCCGGCGGGGCATGCGAGCCGCTCGGGGGGTACGGGGCAGGCTGCAAGACGGGGAGTCGAGGCGGGCGGCGCCGAAGCCCACGCTGGACGCGGGACCCGGGCGGCTTCCCGGAGGGGACTCTCCCCTCTCCGCGTAGAAGGTGCAGATGGTTTGACCCCCCACCCCGAGCGAGGTGCCTCGTCCCAGCCCCGGCTGGACTGTACCATCGGGCGGTGCCGCCGGGATTGCTCCCCCCACCACTACCATCAGTTCCCCCCCCACCCGGGTCCGCGGTCGGTTGGCCCCGGCCGGGCGCTGAGACGCAGAAAGAGCTGGGCGCCATTTTGGGTGGGACTAAGCAAAGACGAAACACTCTCCCAGGCGATGGGATACTCTGGACCCCGGTTTATCCGGTTCCCTTAATCCTTTAGGTACTTACACGACGTTGGGTGAGGGGAGCTGGAAGATCAGCGGGTCCCGGATCCTCTCTCCCTAGGGGTGATGGAAATCAAACCCCCCCGCCGCCTCCAGGTGGTTCTTCCCGCCGCAGAGTGGGAGCAGCATAAAAGGCGGGGTCTTATTAGCATAATCTGCCTGGCAACCCGATCTCAACGTTATGTGATTGGCTAAACTCTGTAAGTCCCATGCTGTTCCTGGAGACCAGGAACGCTGGGCCGAACTGACAAGCCCAGATTTAAGAGTCATGACGAAAATCCTGGGACGCTAATTCAGTCGACAGAGAAGCCAAAAGGAGATTCACACAATGGCCCAATGACTGAAGGCCTCTTTATTTCGTGCTCTGCAGTTCATGTAAAACCCAATAGAAGAGCGAGTTTCTGGCGGTGCTCGCCTGCGTTTGTACTCTAAGCCAATCAGAAAGCCCCACTCTTTGCATTCAGGGTCAAGGCCCATCTAAGAACCTTGGCGGGCAAGTGGAGGGACACAGTACAGCATGCTTGAGCGTCCACTGTGGAAGATCCAGTGCACACCCGAGTTCCCAGGCCACCTGTTCTACACACACACACACACACACACACGGGTCCTGGGAAGCTCTGGAGGTGTGGGCCGTGCATCTACCCGCCCCGGGGCGGACTTGCCCAGAACGCGCGCGCCCGGGGCCTCAGCACGACTGGGACACGCCTTTCCGGGACTACAGAAACCGGTTAAACAGACTGCGCCCCGCGGGCCCAGGAGTGGCCTATCAGCCTTCCAGACACAAGGGGATTGGGTCTTAAGACCTTGCCGTCCTTTCAGTGCGCCTACATTACATCTCTCTTTTCCACCATTTACCATTCTGGAAAAGGCGATTTTCAGAAGCAATCGGGGTGAGAATGTGTCTCAGTGGAGTGCTTGCCTGCCACACTAAGTCCTGTGCTCAAGCCCCAGCACCACATAACCCTGGAGTGGTGGTACACCCAGGAGATGGAGGCAGTAAGAGCGGCAGTTAAAAGCCGGCTTAAACTACTTGAGACCCGGATGAAGTTTAGTCAACACTGAACAACCAAAAATGACAGAACTCTCTTCTTTCTTAACTTAGGACATCCACATCGTACTGTCCCTTAAGATTGAATTCTCGAAGTTCAGCCAGGTGTGTAGAAACAAGCTCAGGCTTTGAAATAAGACAAGCTGGGAGCTCCCCCACTGAAAACAGGAATGGCAACCAAATGCCAGAGACCTTCCCTCTTTGTGTCTGCGGGGAATATTTTCATTGCCCAAGACCTGTACTTTGCTGTGTTGCTTTGAAGGTTAAATGAGATCATACTTTAAAATTCTCTTCCAACACTGACTGGAACTTTAAGAAACAGAAATGTTAGTGATGATAAAGCCTACAGAGAGACAGCTAGATAACCCAAACTCATAATCCCAGTTCTTGAGTGTCAAAGCAAAATTGTTTGAGGGTAATGTGGCCTGCACAGTTCCAGGCCAGCCAGCAGTATACAACAAATTTCAGTTTCCAAACAAAACCCCCTACAAAACTACTGGCTAGCCAAGAAAGAAGTACCAGGAAACAAAAGACTCGAGAATAGAGAACATCCACAGGGAGAAAAACTAAAATCCATTTGACGATATTGCTTACAGTTTTGGTTAAATGACTGAAAACAGTGAAAAGCTGAGGCCATTTTAAAGACAGGACAGCTTTGGAAGGCAGGACTTAATGAAGAATCCACGATTTGTTCTTCCATAGATCCCTTTGGGAGCAGCACTGGGCGTGGAATAAAGGCCATCAGTCAGCAGGCCCTGCTGAACCCAATAGAAAAGAAAGCGTGAAAGGGAGACAGATGAGCTAACTTGCATTTGTCACGTGCAGCACTGTTCTCTCCTCTCTGGGTCTATTAACAAGAAGCCATTTGCTTCTGGAATGTTTTATAATAGCTAGAGAAGTCTCTGGAATGATCGCTCAGTGATGCGAGTCCAAAACGCCAGAGGTGGATGGGTCCTCTATGGCTTTGGAAGGCTGCCATGCCCTGTACCCATGGCCTCTTTTGAGATTTAACCATATTATATCTTCTCTGATGGATTAAGAGTCCCAGAGGTCAGGTTATCAGAGATGACAAGAAAGAAAACCCAACAGGAGAAATGGGACTATCTAACTGGGACTTAAGTGAAACCATCTTCTTCTTTATAACCAGAATATGGTTACTGTGATAGATGAGGAAGCCAATTTTTATTTCTGTATATTTCTTTTTTCCTAATGTCTTGAGAATATCTTAGTTGAGATGTCTTCATTCCTGTTTGTGTATGTACATGTGTGTACTGTTAGGTCTCAAACCCAGGACAAATAGGTAACTGACCATTAACGTATCAAAGCAGACAGTGACCACCATGTTCTGCCTGCTATCCCCACCTGTTATGTGGTATGGTTGGCATATCCCTCCCCCTACCTTTAACTCCAACTTTCTTGCCCTTCCCCCAGCTGCCCCTACCACAAGTGCCCTTCCCCTATATAATCCAGCCATTTTGGTTACCGGTCCTTTTTGGCCCACCTTTTACTCTCTTGGTCAGTCTCCTGGCTCAGGCTACCTGTCTAGGTCAGTGGCTCCCTTCCCCCATCTCCTCACATGGCCCAGTTCAGTCTGTTCACTCCGGACTCTCCCATATGTCTCTGCCTCTCCTTTTTATCTATAAGAAACTCTCTCCAACTTACCTAGAAGCAGTCATGTCCTTCCATGTTTATGTATTTTTTCATTTGTGTACCTGTGTGTGTATGTGTGCTCTGTAGTTATATGTGCATGTGTGCATTTGGAGGCCAGAGGTCAGCTTCAGCTGTTGTTCCTCAGGAGAGCTACCTATCTTACTTTTTAAAGCAAGTTTTCTACCCGGGACCTGGTACTTACAGATTAAGCTAGGCAGTCTGGCGAGTGAGTCCCAAGGATCACTCCTATCTCTGTCTCCCCAGTGCTGAGGATTACAAATAGACACATGTATGTCGTGCTTTTATGGTTTGGTTTGGTTTGGTTTGGTGTTTTTTTTCAAGGTAGGGTTTCTCTGTGTAACTCTGGAAGTCCTGGAACTTTCTGTAGACAAGGCTGGCCTCAAACTCACAGAGATCCACCTGCCTTTACCTCCTCTGAGTGCCAGAACTAAAGGCACACGCCTCCTCTGCTCCCACCCCATGTAATGCTTTTTATTAGGAGTCTGGGTTGTGTGATCCTTAGTTATCTCCCTAGCCCTCAAAGATTACATGCCTACAGTACAGGAGACTGAGATTGGTGCCTCACACCTAACAGGAAAGTGCCTGACCACTGAGCCATATAGCTCAGCCCTCTTTTTGATTTTTTTTTTTTTTAATTTTCAGGTAGGGTCTCATTAAGTTGCCCAGGCTGGTCTTGAACCCACTCTGTAACTTTCAGGGTAGCCAGAATTCCAGGCCTGTGCTGTCTGACCTGTTCTAAAGCTTCAGTAGGCACAAATACTTCAATGACGCACAAGCTCACCAACTTTTTAAATTTCAACTGTCTGATGTCTTGAAAACCTGCTATTTATTTATTTGTTTGTTTGTTTTATAGACATACTAAAATTTTCTGTGCAGGAAGCATGTATGGAATGTGTGCTATGAGCCAGCCACTGTCCTAAACGATAAAGATAGGAAAGAACACAAAAGCGCTGTCATTAAGCTTCCAGTTAAATGGAGGGAAGAACAAACTTCACAGATAATACCAAGTGATGGTGTTACAAGAAAAATATTGCAGGGAAATGGAAGGGTCAGGGAACCTGATTGTTGAAATGCACACCCCTAAAAGTCCCCAGCTCTGTTTAGTTTTTGTTTAGTTGTTTGGGTTTCTTTTATTTGGTTGGTTTTGTTTTTATTCCACCTTTTTTTTCCCTCTGTAACAAGGTAGCTATGTACGTAGCCCTAGCTGGCCTGGAAATCACTATGTAGACCAGGCTGGCCTCAAACTCACAGAGCTCCTACTGCTCCTGCCTCCCTAGTGCTGGGAATAGAAGTATGTGCCACTATGCCATCTGGGCAGTGGCTCTGTTGATAGAGGGTTTTCTCTGCAAAAACAGGGACCTGAATTTAATTCCCAGAGCCCACGTAAAAGATCCCTATCACCTCCAGAAAAGCCAGATATGGCAGTATGTGACCATAATTCCAGCTCTGGGCCCAAGAATGCAGGGGTATTCATTCCTGGACTGTCTGATGAGCTGCAAAGTAATGAGAAACTTTGTCTCAAAAGACTTAAATGGCTTTCCTAAAGATGACAATCAAGATTGTCCACCAGCCTCCATAAATGGCACACATATATACTTACACACACACACTTTTAACAAGAAGTTCTCATAAAATACTAATAAGAATGGGGACTAGAATAAGGCAAAAAGAAGACCAGCCATGTTACAATTTGAGGGAACATTCCAGCCTGTGAAGACAGTCTAATAGCCCCCATGCACGCACACACACAGGTAAAATACTCTTTTATCACGTACAGACCACACTGAAATAGAGCATCTCCTCTGAACACACAACAGCAGGCCCTGGCTGTAGGCTCCCAACTGAACATAAGCCAGGGCCTAGAAAGGGTTCCTTTAGCCGGGCGGTGGTGGCGCACGCCTTTAATCCCAGCACTTGGGAGGCAGAGGCAGGTGGATTTCTGAGTTCGAGGCCAGCCTGGTCTACAGAGTGAGTTCCAGGACAGCCAGGGCTACACAGAGAAACCCTGTCTCGAAAAACCAAAAAAAAAAAAAAAGAAAGGGTTCCTTTAGGCCTTTAGTCACAGTACTTGGGAGGCAGAGTCAGGAGGATCTCTATGAGTTCAAGGCCAACCTGGTCTACAGAGAGAGTTCTAGGATAGCTAAAGCTATTAGAGAGCATATCTCTCTCAAAAAATAAAAGTAATAAATAAATAAATAAAATAAAAATAAAAAGAGTTCCTCCTCCCGAAGGAAGAAGGGGGTTGGGGTGGAGGAAGGGACAGAGACAGTGTGCATGTAAAAACTGATTCCATAGGACTTTGCCAGCATCATCTGAAACTATACATCTGTTGCCTTACATCCTGGGTTTGGTTTCGTTTGTCCAGTAGACCTAGGTCTGGGGATGTGC